TGGCTTGACAGCCAAACGCCAAACCCACAGAGCCACCGAATATTTGAAGACAGAGCCAGGTATAAAGAGTAGGAACTTACCTTACTTTCCTGTGCCTTGTGCCCAACTGACAGCAAAACAAGTGGGTTGGGATTGCTGTTTATTTTCTTTCCTGACTGGTAAAGAAAAAGCAAAAACTTTGCCTTCAGAATAAAGCAAAACCTCTCTCCTCTGAAACTTACTGACTGCATCTTAAAAATACAAATCATATGCATTCTACTGTATGTTTATCTATGATTCTCAGTGTTTTATTCAACTGGCTTGAATGGCAGACTGGCTGTAACTGGTGAACAGATCCACATAAAGGCATCCAACTATCCTGAATATGCTGAAGCAAAACCCTACAAATAAGTAGGAGCTTTAGACTCCTTTTCATTTTCTTTGAATGAAACTGGTAAGGTGCAAATTCTTATCTTTTAATGAGCATTGCAACCCCCAAAGCTAATGAAGCATAGTTAAAACTGCAAAATGAATATTTCATGCAGATGGGAGATATGAAGAAAGCACAAACTCAGGAACTTTATATACATTGCTGTAGTACTATTAAATTAGAAGGGATACCAGAACACTGATATTCCCTCCTTTTCAGTTTGGGGAGAAAGAAGATGCACTATAATGTACCTGAGGGATATTTCTACAGTTTACAAAATACTCTTTATTAGAGAGTCAACCATCTGCTATATCTGAGCCTTGCTCACCAGCTATATAGCATTACATCAAACTGTGGAAATAAACATCAGTTTAGAAACAAATTATGTATGCAAAGGAACATTCCCAACTACATTTCTTTCACAAATTTCAATTTAATCTAACAAAAATTTAAGTCAGAAAGAAAATTTAGACATGAAAGTTAATCATCTCAGGCAGGTGTTAATGCAGTTTAAAAGGCCTAGAAAATGTAGGATACATGGTTAATAATATACTTTGAGTTCTACCCTGTAGAAAATGTATAGATCAGGTATGTCAACAGAAAGCCAGCTAAAATGTACTTAATGCATGTAAGGTCACAATTACAACCAAGTGATTCAAAGACTTTATACTTTTGAATCAAGAAAGTGCATGATTTAGATATTTTTGGGATCTGAACTTACATTTTGAACATCATACTTTCACTAATATTACTCGACTTTAATGTGACATACTGCTTATAACCATCCTTTCCTTTAGAAATAAAGCTGTTAAGAAAGCACTCCTTTCTTGGATGAATGCTGCATTTATCTTTTTTATGATTTCTAATAAAAAATATTTACCTCTCAAGGAAAACAGAATACAAAGGTTTACCAAACAGAAAGAAAGTCAGATTACACTGCAACTGATGATGTTTTAAAATAGCAGGTGACATGTGTTTCATTTTTTTCTTTGTCCATAAAACAGTGCCTGAAACTTTCTTCTCTTCATAAAATGATGAAACTACAGGAGCTGACAAAAAGACCCTGTTGCTTATGCTGATATGTAAATATAAATAATTTTAATTCGTGCTAAATAGGTGGCAATATGTACACACACATATAATGCACCTCTAACACCTGCTACTGACAGACTCATTGTTGACAGTCTATTTAAAGACTGCCCCTTGTCCAGGTTTCTCCAGCAGAGAATTCAGCTCATGCCTTCCATGGTTGCCTATCAAAAAGCTGGGCTAAATTTTTTTAACATTTATATAAAAGACGTAAACCTTCTAAAAACATCTGGCAGGAACAAGATTATTTCAAAAGAGTCATTCAGAGCTGACTGATGAATATCACTCAGTATGTAAAAGATGTCTCAGCTTTCATGTCAGCTTTATTCTTTAGTTATAGCTACAAATTAGCTCTCAGGATGATTTTTTCCCCCAGTCTTCTAAAGCAGTCTGTACTCCACTAAACTGATCTAAAGTCCAAGTCACCACAGACCACAGTATTTTATCAATGTCTTGACAGTGTACTGAAATCAAATTTAAGTAAAATGGAATTGCACTAAATACATATCCACCAACAGAAATTCTATCCAGTGTTTGAAGAGAAGTGTTGCAGGCATTTGTGTACTTCCAATTACTTTTGTGACCTTAAATGGACAACTATATTAGTTTTACCTTTAGGGCTTTCTGAACAGCAGCCTTCTTCAAGCCATCAGGATTAAAATCTAATGGATTATTCTTTTAAGTCAGGAGAGAATGAACATAGGAAGGGTTAATAAGTCATGCAATGAAGCAATTTCACTAGGTTAATTAATTATGACATGACAACATAGGACAAAGCAGGGAAAAGAAACCAACCTWAAAMMAAMCCMA